ATAACAAAAACCTAAAGACGAGGGGTTACTTTGGATTATTGTAAAGTGGCAAAAAAAAATTGTCGTTTAACACTCACGTTTAAAGTAATATAAACATTTGGCAAATCACATCTGTATGTATTATTCATCATATGTAGTGGTTTCTTATTCTTGACGTGGCTCTTTGTGGTGAAGTCATACAAACCCAGATTTAGAGAAGCATTTGGAAGTGTCATCCTATTAGAATTTGTCTCTGATTAAGGTGACCACGATATGCAAACATCTAGGGTCTTTTGTTCCTGGTTCAAGACCTGAATCATTGACTGATGTCCTAATTGTTCATTTAAGTTGTTTACTGTTGTTGTTGTTGTTGTTGTTGTTATGCCCTGGATGTAAACTAACATTTGTATTACTAACAGCACTCTTTCAAAGCTACATTCCAGTTGACACTTTAGTTGGATTTTAATAATCCTAAATCGTCCTCTGATTTTGGGAAGGACCCAAACGGGCACACTTCCACACATGAGATCAAAGGAAAGGAGCGATTAGCTTTTTATTGTACATCTTTCACTCACATAACATTTCCAAGACTTAAAATTGTAGCTAATGCCTTTTCCTCCACTTTAGAGCCTGTAAGAGTAGGTAAAACAAGGTAATATTGTGAAACTCAGAGACAGCAGTTTGACAGCAATCCTGGATACTGAATTTTACAAATAAGTTCAAAGAAATAATAGTTGTGTGAACAGATTATCATGCCCACCATAAATTAGCACTAAGTCTTTTTAATGTACTAAGGAACTATTCATTACATGGAAACAACATGGTGCCTGACCTTGGGAGCTAGTCTCAGACAATGTCTTTGAAGTCATTTCATTCTTGTTCTTACTTCAAGTATCCTAGACATGTATCTTTATATAGCCCCCTTGAGGATAGGGATCATATCTGAATTACTCCATGTGTTTTCTAACGCAGAAAACTCTGGAGATTGAAAGATGGATATTATATGAAAAAATTATCAAATTTTAATTTTATAAGATATGACATCATTTTGAATCTCTTCTGTTTTTCTATCATAAAAGGATTACGTGAATTCTTGCTAACTAAAAAAATTTTTAAATTAGTATATACAATAAAAACAAAAAAATCTTGCCTTTATACTATGTACACCTCCTAATTCTCACTCCCTTCTTCACTGGAGGCTCTATTAACAGTTTGGTACATAGCTCCATTTTAAACACACACTCCTGATTTTAATCTCATGCAATTGAAACTATAAGGCTGTCAACATTTATGATCACTGGATTTGTAGAACATTGGGCTTTATTTAGAGCTACGTTGTTTCTCCATAAACAATTTTAGGGAACAATAGCAGTTTATAAAATGCATTTTAATCTACAGTACGAACATTCCTATTCTTTTCTCTCAGTATTGAATTCTGCTTATAGGTGACTTATGCAACCAACTAACTGAGTCTACGGGTGGTTGATGGTAGTCCCCCTCATGGCTACTTTTATTCCTTCCCAGATGGTCTTGGTTATTTTCTTACATTTACTCTTAAAGATGTATTTAGAATTCCTTTGTCAAGATCCCCCCAAATCCTGCTGTGATCATAATTGGAGTAGCACTTGAATTAACTTGGAAGGATTTGACATGGTACGTCTTTCCATTTGTTTATGTTTTCTTTTATGTCTCATTAAACTTTTGCTGTATGCTTTACCTGCATCATTGTTGAACTTAATGAAGTTGTTTTAGTGTTGTAATGAGATCTTTTCTCTGATATATTTCTTATGAATTATTGATAAAATTTAGAAAAGCTATATAATTTTTCAATATTAGCTTTATGGTATCTCATTATTTTCCAGTAAATTCCTTTGAGTTTTCAAGGTAAACAATCATATAGCTACAAATAATTCTTTGGTAATTTCCTATAACAAAGCATTTCATAATATTAAAACTTGCATTCCTGAAATAAATTCTGTGTGCTAGTGGTACTGCGCATAATGTTGCTGAACTTTTTAAAGGCTCCTGGATTGAATTTACAGTAGCACTTTGGGAAGATTTTTTACATCTATGTTTTAACAAATCAAAATTGAAATCATTTTTTTTTTCTATAGGTTTGTCAGCTTTCAGAATTCAGCATCAGGATGATGCTGGCTTAAAAAGGGAATTTGGAAATTTACCTCTGATTATTTCCTATAGAATAGTTTTTAAAGGAAACCAACTAAATTAAGTGTTGTTGGGCCAATCTCCAGCATAGACATGTAGGAAGGAGTCAACCTTGAAATCATAAAGGGAGCATTGGCACTGTAGGAGGCATTAAGCTGGCCCTCAGAAGCTGAGGAAGACCCCATCATCCCATTTTTCTTTGTCAGAGATCACCTTGGTGATTTCAAAATAGAAATATATCATCAACCTTTCCATTGTGATCTGACAAAATTTTGACATTACTTCTTGGTGAAAGCCCTCTGCTTCAGCAAATACATTGGAAATATTTATTTTTATTTATCCCTTTTATAAATGACATTCAAGATTGCTGTACACATCCACACTAGCATTACCCAAGATTTGTAATGCAACCTTAAAATCACACAAAACGTTAAAATAACTTTTAAAGTAGTATAACCTTTTACATCGGGAATGCTTTTTCTATTTTACATGTAATTAGCATGCAGATCAAAAGGCAATTGCAAAAGCCAGAACTTAAGATAAAATTATATAAACAAAATTAACCTCATTTTGGCTTTGGAGCACTGGAATAATATTTTTTCAGGGTTGAATGTAATATTTATGCTTAAGTGTTTCCTTAAATAAACTTTAAAAATGTTCACAAATCTTGCCTTCGCTGAGTACAGACCTCCCCACAAATGGACGAAACCTTCAAGAAAACATTGGTGCACCTCCCGCACTATCATATTTAAAGTTAGAGTATAACCAGAGGTGAAAGGAGCTACATACAACAGAAACTTACAACTTTGGGACCTGGAATATTAATCAGTGGTTAACTGCAAACTGAGCTCTAAATTATGATCCATAGGGATTCCTTACCACAAACCGCTGATTTCACTGGACTTCTTACGAATCACTTCAGCTGAGGAACTGATCATGAAAAGCCAAGCTTCCCATAGCTACAGACAAACACTTCATTTCTTTGAGGTTACCAGGGTATAATTGGTTTTAAAACGCATTACAATTACATTTTTTCTTCAAAATGGGAATAGCTTGAACATTTTTATGATTATGAAGTAATGCACATTTATTTTACTAAATTTAAAAAGTCAAGACCAAAAATTACAAAGAATACATTTTAAATCATCTATAATTCCTCTGCCCAAAGATCACTACTGTTAACATTTTGGTGTGGATCATTACAGAATTTGTATTTTTAAAAAATCTTCTAAAAAGTTTCATGCTCACTTGCAATATAACTAAAAATACTTATCTTCAAAATAGATATGATTTTTTTCAAATATTATTTATTTTTGGAACTGTTTTTACTGCATTCTCTTGTATGGGATTGAAAAAATGTGTCAATCATTATAAAACACTCAAAAGAGTAAAAAAAATTCATGTTAATCATAAATTTAATTTTATTTTAAATAACTTTAGCTACCTCAGCTGTTAATACAATAAAAGCAAAAAGAACAGGCTGCCTTTTTTCCAGATTTAATCAGAAAATTGTATCTACAGTAATCGACAGAACTCACTTCTTGTCCTTTACCCATCTCATCAAAAATTACTGCATTTTCCCCAAACTGTATTTCTTGGATTCCTCTGTGAATATACTCATTTCATCCTCATTCCTGGAGGCATCTTGGTTTAAATCCATCTTTATAAAAAGGAGAAGGGGTACATATGTTAACATATGTTAACTATTGTCGTCTTCATTAGTCATCAAAAATAACTAATTCATGTGTGCATATCGACGAAAACTAATATCTTACAATTGCATTAATATGATGGTATTCATATTTATTATTCATTTGTAAAGACATCCAAAATATCTTTGCCAATATTGCCTCTCCTCCCTACTTCTCAACCCTCCCTCACAATCCCTGCCTTGGTCTCCAGCTTTGTACTTTCTGACCGTTGGTGCTAACAACCAATGGATAGGATTTCTTAGTGAAATCCTATAATTGTCAGCTTTATTCATTAACCCAATGAATAAAGCTGACAATTATAGGATTTCACTAAGACAACATTTATAAACTGGACAAATAGTAAATATCACCTCTCATATATATGTGTGTTGATATTCATAAAATATATATAAATGGAATCACAAAGAAACTGAGAATATATGTTGCCTCTGAAGAGAGAATTGAATGACTGGAGGTGGGGAGCAGAGATGGGGAAAAAAATCTTTTATGATATACATTTTATGTTTTATAAATGTTTATAATACCACCTATTCAGTAAAATTTCAATATAAAAGTATATCTACATATGTACAAACATGTATCAAGTTATTAGCTTAATAAGGCTTAGGCTGCTCCTTCAGACTGCATAACTTACTAAGTGCCCAGAGAAATGAAACCACCAACTATAACAATGTCAGCTTATGGCTGTGCGATGGAAAAACAGTTTCACTCTGAAAATAGTTTTAATTGTCATTCCATCAAACATAGAGTACTATGTTTGAATCAGTGATTCAGCAAAGGCACCTCAGTGTCTTCTCTATTTGTTAGCATCTGGCCTGAATACGGACACACACACACACACACACACACACACACACACACACAGAGCAGTGTGGTAGCTAAACCATCTGAGACTATTCCTTAACTGCAGTGGAAACAGCTACCCTGAGGTAAGAAAAGTGGCAGAAATTCTCATTTCAACCTAGATCTTTTCTAAAATATAAGATACTCTGATTCTTGGTTACGGAAATCATATGTATGCCCTTTGGGCATTGTAAGTGTGATAGACATACTGTTCAAGTTTGTGAGTTAGTTTTACCACTCTACGCAGGGCTTGAATGTCCTTGATTTTGGTTCACTGCTCTTTTTGTTCTTGATTTGCAGGTAGTGAAATCAAAGTTAACCAAAGACTATCACTTTATTAAAATAAAACAATCAAGAAATCATATTGTGGGAAAATATTTCGGCAATCAAAGCAAACTACGACAACGACAACAAGACTCTGTAATAAATTACCAATCACCATATCATGTCAGAGGTCCAATTAATCAGGTTTGCTCTGAAATCCTCCTCAGCAGGATGTGTGCAAATAGAGGAACCATGTCAGACTCCCTGCAAGAGGATTGAATTTGGAACTAAAGACAAGCCATTCGCCTGCATGATCGTCTAAGAACCAAATCCTGTGCATCACATGTATTTTGATTGACCACACGCACTTGTGTTCACCGGCACACACTTACACACTAATACACACAGAGCTAAAAAAAAAAGTAAGACACTTTTTTCCCACAGCTTTATAAAGTCAAGATATGCACTTGAAAATCAGTTGGTTTCAAGGTGAAAGAGCTAAGAAAAGGTTACTTGAAATATAATCATAAACTAGAACCACCATGGGCCAGGTATTGCATTGTGATAATAAAGAGAAATATAGACACTTGAATTATGTGAGAAAAAGGATAATGCTCTTGAGTATTGTGTTATCTTCTCTTTCAGTATATTAATGCTGAAAAGGGTATAAAAGTAGTACATTCCACTTGTAAATAAGGATTGCACTTGTGTCCTTGACAATGAGAAAACATGGCGTTTATGATGGCTTTGGCTTTGTGAATCTAATGCTAATGAAAAACATTTCTTTGTGTAGTTTCCAAATTTTATAACTGAAAGGAAAAGAACGGGAATGCCTCACAAGAGAACTCAAATAGATTCTATGAGAGAGATAAGAAGTGTCACATTTTAAAGTTGAAACACCAATGTATCTAATTTCGCACTCTTTGTACTTTTCATAAACATTCCCTCCTATCCTGTCTGTGAACTTGGATAGGTAACTGCAGTTGCAGTTGATTAAATATGTAATTTTAAAGTGAGAAACAAAATATAGTTCCTTATGTATTACTTTATTATGTTTCATTGATGATATTACTTAAGAAAAATTTGGTTTGCCATTAGAACCCTATGTAATGTAAGAGTACAATTACGTTTTATGTAAATATTTTGCAAAGGATTAGGCATTCTCAAGTGCATAGGTGTTTATTTCCATAAAGCATTTGTATATGTCTACATATGCTTCTATATTACTAGTAACTATATTTTTGTTTCCCTGAACAACTGTATCTAATCCAAATTTAGAGTAGGCATATTATTTTTTTTATTAAAACTGTGATATACATATAAAACATCTAATTCTAGTATTGATAACTTCCTCTTCTATATTTTAATTTCAAAATAATAAATATCTTATTTTACAAATGCTTTGTTGTGAGACAACATCTCACAGTTACAATGGTTTTTAAAGAATTATTTTTCTTTTGGGAAAAAAAAGGACTGAGAGGGTTAATTCAATACATGGCTGAAATTACCAAATATACAAATACCTCAATGTTATTACCTTATAAAAAAATATTTTAATTGCTCGGTTCCTTAGTATGAATGTCTTCCTTTAAATACTCTATTTTTATATATATTTTTATATGAAAATAAACATGAATTTATATTTAACTGTCTTAAATTATATTTAAGCACAAATATCACTTGATATAAACAATACATATCTGCATCTGATAGATGATAGATTTTTTTTTAAATGGCACAGAATTAAACTTTAAAATGAAAGGTTTTTCTAATATCTGCAGCTATGTGCAAGCACCACTTTTAGGTTTTCAATCATTTTTAATGGAATAAAATGTTCCAATGCATGCAGCCTCTTCATCAAGTTTTAATGTATTACATACTCTGTAACAGAATTATGGTCAGTATATATTTCTTGTAATTTACTGTCAACCTAAGTGTAATAACTGACTGAGGTTTGTCTGGCATTTACCTCTTCACCACTGAAGTAATAATGGATTTTTATTACACAATTGTGATGATGCTATTAATAAATACCTTACTAGTAATAGTCTGTGTTCAGAGAGTATCTTTTATTTTTCTTTACTGGAGGTATATAATCATACAAACAGTGACCAGTTGGAAAGGATATTATCATGTAGATTTGACTATTGGAGTGTGGTTTAATAAGATAACTATAGTCCAACCCTGATATTCTCTAAATTTTTATCAGATTAACTCCCTGCTG